CTGTGCTTCACACAATAGTTCATATTCTTCAGTATCGCTGCTGTCGCTCCAATCGTCAAAGTCACTGTCAAAATAAATGTTAGTAAGTTTTGACAAAGCTAATGAAACACGTTTACCGTTTGTATCGTATGCTTGTATAAACTTTCCATTCTTCATTCCTTCATAAACGCTCAAACTAACTTTACCCTTTCTCCCTCGTATCTGATAGAATGTATTTTCACGAGGAACGAAGAACAAATTCTTGAACTCATGACCGTTGTAGTTTGTTATCTCAATAGTTTTCGTCATTTACATAAAAATAAAATAAAAAATAAACTTAAAAATTAATGATATCACCACCCTCACACGTATGAAAACATAGCACAAAAATAAATTTAGGTGAAGTGGTGAGATCTCACCTCTTTTTTCACCTGTTTTTTCACCCTGTTGAATTCATTGCTTTATAACTCTCTTCCTTGGTTTCTTTTTAGTTGCTTTCTTCACGTCTGTCTCCAACTTGACTGTCTTTCTTCTTCGTCCATAATGATACCAATTACTTCCACCAGTCAATGGGTCAAATGGTCGTTCATAAGGGTTTCCATACATTCCATAAGGTCCGTATGGATAAACCGCTGGTGGAGAAGAAACATTTTCTTTAGTTCCATCGACTCTATTTAAATGCATTGTTTCACCTTTCATCTGGTCATTAAAGTCTTTTGCGTGTTTTGCAAACTCATCGTCCTTTCCTAAAGCATTTTCTGACTCAGTCGCAACCAAATTGGATGCTTTATTTATGAGCCCTATTTTATTTAATCTTAACTTCTTTGCAACCCAGCCTCCAATCTTTCCTTTATTTGCATCTAATGTCTTCGAAACCCTTCCTCCACTCATTTTATTTACTGCGTCATAAGCTCCAAGTGCTTTTGCTCCAAATGCTAATGCTTTTGTTCCCATTGCGCCTAAAGCTGCCCAAGCTACCATTTACCCCATATTAAAATCATCTCTCTTCAATATTATCTCATAAAAGTTCTCGTTACTGGAGAAAGTCAATGAAACATAAGCGTTCTCACGGGCTTCGCCCTCACCGCTTTGCGGTCTATCTAACTTCTTTCTTATCTCATCTATTCGCTTCAAAATGTCTGAACAATTGCTAACATCTTCTACAACAGTTATTTCATCATGAATGACCTTCAAGAACAAGCTCATTTAGTATGCAATTAAAATCATCTCAATAATGAGTCCATCCTTTCCATCTTTAGGTAGCACAACATCTTTCATTGAAGAAGGTTCGACAAGTCTTATGTTAAACTTACTGACAAAGTTTGTTATACTATAATGCTTCGGTGGCGAATACATGTAGTTTGAAAGACATAATATAGATTCTTCAGCAAATTCACTTATACTGGATTTTATAACAATGTTCTCACGAGACCAAACGCCACCAATTGACAATCTTGTAAGCAATCCTGCTGAACCTTCAACTGTAAACGTCGATGGTAACATTCCACGAAGGTCATCTATTGACATCTTTGAGTCACTGAATTTAAATATTTTCTTAAAGCAATCGTCATTATCTAACCATGCAATAGCTTTGAAGTTTTCATTCGAATATACATCTGCTTCATTAAATGTAAAACCTGACTTCTTTGCAGAGACGATTTTAAAATCTATTGCATTTGTTTCAAAATTATATGCTATGGTAACTTCTGAAGGTAATGGGTGTCCTTCTGCTATAAGTTGTTCTTTCAATACCGTTTGAAGCTTTGTGTTAAAAACTTTCATGTCATCTCCTGTATCTAAGTTCACATACACAGCAACAGGAAAACTATCTTGCTTCTTTGTTTCATCATTATATCTCAAAACATTAAAGTTCTTCAATAATATTGTTCTTCCTGCTGGAATACTTCGAACCTGTCTGATTTCAATAGCTTTCTCACCTCCTACATACTCTACCCAGTGTCTTGGATATTCATAAGTATACTGACTTTCTTGAATTTTGGTTGGTTTCATCATAACGTGTTCATAGTATATCTTTATACTCTTGTCAGTTAGACTCGGTGCTATGTTCTGAATATTTCTGACTTGCATTTTTAATGGAGATAAAATGAAGCATTTAATACATGATGTAGATGAAGACATGAATGAAACTACAGACAAACTTAACTCTTCTCTTATTCTTCCTTTCAGCAAAGATTATGAATTCTGTTCAAATGGTGTGTATTTCTATTGTGGAAAGACGGGTTCAGGTAAGACATTTAACCTCATTCGTCATATACTCATAACAGAGCGTTTAGGAAACGACTCTTACTATGACCAAATCATTATATCAGCAACTTCAGACTCTATGGATTCAACAGCGAAAACATTCATGAGTAAAGTTCAAGCATCTGTCGTTAAAGTTCCAGATAGCGAACTCATTGAATTTCTTCAACGTTACATTCGACGTAAGAGAAAATATTATGCTATTGTAGAGTTCATACAGTCAGGAATGCAAAAGACTTCTGAGGAGATGGAAAGAATTATTGACAAACACCACTTACGTCAATACTCAGGAGTTTACGATATGAAACGACTTACAAACTACATTCTATCAAAACTTTCAAAATACCCCTTCAAAAAGTATCCTTCAAACACTCTGCTCGTTTGTGACGACTTCGCCGGAAAAGGTTTAGTGTCAAAGCCTGACTCACCATTAGCTAACATCATAACTAAAGTCAGACATTACCATTTAACTGTAGCAATACTTATGCAAACATGGCGTTTCCTTGCTTTAAACATAAAACGTCTCATAACTGACTTCGTTATCTTTCAAGGTTTCTCACGCTATGATATTGAACTCATTTGGAAACAGTCAGGTATAACATTACCTTTTGAAGAAATTTGGGAAGCATATAAGTCTCTCATCTCTCCTCGTTCATACCTTGAGATTCATATCATGACTAATACCATTAAAGTCAAAATATTCCATGGGAACGACCAACATTGTTTTAAATCTTATGCTTTAATTGACTGATGGTAAACAAATTCCATGCATCTCTGTCGCCATTTCTGTTAATATTTTTGCTGTCATTCATATCATCCACTTCCCCATCCGTTAGCTTTTGAGGATATGCGTTAGAATAGCTGTTCTTAAATGAAGGCTTTTCACCTTTGAGAGCATAAACTCTATAACTTTCTGCATACTTTATGTTTGAACCTCCTGAGCCATCATTGACATAAATTTTTATAGGCTTCCACCCTTTGTTCATGTTCCTGCTTCTTCCCTTAGCTCTTTTGTTCTGTAGTTCTACATCTTTATACACAGCTCCTGTCTCAGTGAATTCAACAATATTTTCATTCGTTAGCTTTACATTCAAACCCTTGTCGAGTATATTGTTCATTTCATACATATAAAAGGTTTTTATTCTATATGAACTGAGAAGCAAATCCATCTTAGCTGGTGCCGTTAATGTTCCAATTGAACCAACATCAAATGTTGACTCACGAACGACAAACAATATTGTCATAAAGAACTATAGTTCAGAGTGTTTGAAAGAAAAAGAACCAGAACTTAAGTCGGTGAATTTAAACACAGCTTCAAACGCTAACGCTACATCAGATGTTAAGTTAGAGTATCCACCACTGGACCAAGTTCTTTCAAGAGAAGCCAACGACAACCCTTACACAAATGTTCAAACAAATCCTTCAGATAACGTAGACCATTACCTTCTTCAGTTTATACCAAACAATTTTACTCAAAGACGATAAGAAGCTTTTGACAAATCTTATAAGTAAGAACCAAATAATTCTAACAAAGGAGGACCTTGAAAATATTATATCACGAATAACAGGAAAGCAATGTGTCATTGACTATCTCGACCCTGAAATCGAATGCTGTGGTCAAACTCCAATATTCATGAAAATAGGTAACATCCGCATCATTGAAACACCAGGTACTCCAGGAGTTGAGTTTAAGTATAAATATTCGAATGAATATACAAAACTTTCAACAGAATATAAACTTTGTTTGAAATATGTTTTAGTAAATTAAAGCAATTTGTAATATCTATACAAAACTTCTTCAACAGTATCGAACTCATCTTCATAATGCAAACCTAATCTTATTGACTTGGTGCAGTTTTCACTAACACAATATTTTTCTGTTCTCTTGACTGACATAACTAACTCATTTGTTTCATCAAACAGCAACAACCAAAGTTCATACCCTAATACATAACATTCATACTTTATATTTTTAGCTCTGAGTTCTCTTGTAAGCTGTTGCATTTAATATTTTCTAAAAAGTCAACTTCAACAGTCATTCGCACTGGTGCCTTCAGTTCTACAGGCTCTCCTTGAAAGTCAACAAGTCTGAATTGCATGTCTTTCAAATTATGAGGACTAATGCGAACCCATTTACCTAAATGAGTTACTATGACAGGAACGTTTGGAATGAACATTGAATTTACTTCATAACAGAAAGACTTATATTCTACTGAACCTTTACTATTAACTCCTGAAATACCTGTGACATTAGCTATTTTTGACTCAACGTACAAACAATTACCATAACATACGTATGGAACAGATTTCATCTCAATCGTTTTGTCAACACTTTTCAAAGGAAATGTCATATGGTATTGCTCCCAGAAGCAATTGAACTCTATGACTCATTCGTGTTAACTTAAACTCCTTCGCATAACTGAAACTTCAAAACTCCTGCAATAAGTTTAACATTCATTAAGTTTTTTCGTTATCCTTGTTTATTGTAGTATTTATGAGAGCATTTAACACTCCAGCTAATGTTTCCATCTTATATTCTACATTATTGTGAAATCTTATTTCATGCTTCTTTCCATCTATTTCAAGCTCCATGAAATCTGTTTCGTCAGTTATAACGAATGAAGCAATAGTATTAAAGTCAACAACTCTGAAAGCAAGCGCTTCATTCTGAAGACCTAAGTTTGTTTGTAGCTTTACTGTCCCGTATTCGTTTGGGTCTGTACTTTGCAAATAGAACAACATTTTATTCTCATTAAAATATGACTATTGCTGCATATGCGTATGAAACAAATGAAGCAAGAAGAGCACATGAACTAGTAAACGAAAACTCAACTTTAACCATTGAAGGCAATGATTTAGTCATTGACGATGGAAAAACTAAAAAAGTCATTGATTTCGATACTTTTAACACTTATGACCCATTCATTACAACAAGCAAGGTTCCCATCATAAATGATGGAACGGTGCAATATATAAATTCAACAGTAGATGCCTCATTAGTAAAAGTACTGAATGTTCTCATTGAATTGTTAAAGAGCTTTCGATTTGACGACAACATTAAATGCCTAAAGAATTTAGTCATGAATGAGAAACAAATTCTCGGCGTTGCTGGTAGCAGTAATGATGTACACCTTATGACATTAGAATATTATAACGAACATAAAGATGAACTGAAAGGAGAGAAGGGTGACACCGGACCTCAAGGACCACAAGGAATACAAGGAATACAAGGAATACAAGGAATACAAGGACCTCAAGGCGAAAACGGTTTGGATGGAAAGGATGGAAAGGATGGAAAAACTGCTAAATCATGGATATGGGACCTTATAAATACTGGTTTAACAGCTGCTTCATATGGAGTTCTTCAATACCAAATCGGAAAGATATGGGCAGTACTTGGTGAAGAAGCTTTAGATGACGTTAAAAATGCTTTGAACCTCATTTCAAATGGTTCTGATACTATTAAAACTTTATCTGGTTGGATGCAAGAAACAAGGAGTCAAATAGATACTGTAAGACGTATAGCAAACAATGCACGTACGGGATTGGATACTTTACGAGAAGCACAAAATACACTAAAGGAAGCAAATGATATTCTTGGCTCAGTATCAGACATGCATGAAGATTGGCTTAAAGGTATTGACAAATCTTTAAAAAATCACAGTCAGTCTATTGCTGACTACAAGAAAAGTATAGATTTTTTACATAGTGCTATGGACATACATGATGGAAGCATAAGGAACTTACTTAATGCTAACAATAACTTACCAGGAACTATTAAAGCATTTATAAAGTCCTTTGTAAAACCCGGTGCTCTAACATTTAGGTCTTTGAGAGCAAGAGCATTGAAGTCAAGAGATGCAGAAACTCCAACAGAAACTCCAGAAGAACCACCAAAACCAACAGCTAATAAAATATTGTTCGAATATTTTCCAAGGTACTCTGTTCTCATTGCATACATTCAAGAAATACTTAAGAAAGCAGACTTGACTTTAGGAGATGATGAAAGTTCTGTATATCTTTCGTTCCAGTTTCAAATAGCAGAACTTTTGAGACAGATATGCTTAATGTATGACAACATCTCTGATTTCACAAGATATGATGACGATCATGACCCCGAACACGGTGAAGAAGAAGTTTTACAAACATCCATTAAGACAGGAAAGGTTTTAACTCAAAGTCTCATTATTGACACCAAAGATGGCGAAGTGGACGTTCTTCAAGAGCTGAAGAAAAATACTTCTTCGGGAGGTGGTGGTAGGCATGAACTTGAAATAAATGAGATAGAAGAGAAATTAGCCGAAAAAGCAGATAAAGAACATAAACACAATATCTCCGATATAATGAACTTCAAGCTACATTAAATAGTAAAGCGGACAAAAATGAACTTGACGCATGACAAAGTTTTGAAATCTCATAAACACAATATCTCCGATATAAATGAACTTCAAGCTACATTAAATAGTAAAGCGGACAAGAACCACGTTCATTATATAACTTCAGACGAACAGATTATAACGGACTACCATGGATATTTAACACGAAGTGATGAAGTGAAGACGAAAAATGTTAATGAAAGAGATATAAATACATTCGTGCTAAAGGTTATGACATAAGCTGTACTGTACAGTATGACACGGGTAAAGCACCAGAAGCATTTAGTTATAACGATGAAATTTATGCCTCTACTTTCTCTGTTAAAGGTGTATTAGTTGAACCAAGATTTACTTTGAGAGTTAAGTCAAAAAATAACGTTTGAAGATGCTATTAAAAGTAAAGCTGACAAAGTTGAACTCGAAGCAATGAACAAAGTTTTGAAATCTCATAAACACAACATCTCCGATATAAATGAACTTCAAGCTACATTAGACAGTAAAGCCGACAAAGAACCATACACATGAATCCTTCACTACTGTTAGAGCAGACGACATAATATTGAACTATACCCTTGGTTCAAGTGCACCTTTAGAGAATCCAAGTACAAGCGTAAAAGATACACTAAACTCCTTAAATAGTAAATGTATGAATATTGAAGGTCATGTCAGAAACTTTGAAACACATGAACTACCAGCAATGTTAGATAAAAAAGCAGATAAAGAACATACACATAACTCCTTCTCAACTGTTGCTATAGAAAGTATTGAAGGAACAGTTGGCGGAACTGGTGGGGATGCATTATATTATAAACCTCCTAACTTTCCACAAGGTTTAACATCGAATGAAAACATAACAACGAAGAAAGAAATTAGCTGTAAAAATGTTTATGTCATGGACGATGAAAATAATGTTAAATTCACTGCTCAAGATTTATATGATAATAAAGCTGACAAGAACCATACACATAAATCCTTCACTACTGTTAGAGCAGACGACATAATATTGAACTATACCCTTGGTTCAAGTGCACCATTAGAAAATCCAAGTACAAGCGTAAAAGATACTCTTAACAATTTAGATAACAGTTGCAGGAATATCGAAGATCATGCCAGAAACTTTGAAGCATATGAACTACCAACAATGTTAGATAAGAAAGCAGACAAAACAGAGCTTCAAACATTAAAGACAGAAATACTTCAAACATTATATCCTATAGGCTCTATTTATACGTCAATGAACTCAACAAATCCAGAAACAGTTCTGGGTTTTGGTACGTGGAAGCAGATTGTAGACAAATTCTTATACTGTGCTAGATATTCAAAGCAAACAGGGGGTTCGAAGAAAATTAAAGAAGCAAACCTTCCACCGCACACTCATACAGGAACTACAAACACAACAGGTAATCATTCACATTCAATAACAAAAAGAGGTTATACAAATCTTGCAGCGGGTTCGAATAGACAGGGAATGAATAGATCTGATATTTCAACTGACCCAGTAGATTCAAGCACAGGTATTTTCTGTGGAACCGCAGGAAATCATTCACACACTTTCACAACAAATCCAACAGGCTCGGGTGCAGATTATATGCCACCATTTGTGACTGTATTCGCATGGTACCGCGTTCAATGAACGCGCTTGAGCCTTGAATAAAATCTTTAACTTTACATAAATGAGCTTGAAAGAAGTATTCGAACAACATCCATGGAGGTCATTTAAGAAGTTCAATGAAGCTGCAAAGAGTTGGGGATTTACTAACAGAGCTGAAGTGAAAAGGTTCTTTGACAAAAATGTTGTACATCAAACAAAAATAAACCCTTACGACTACTTTTTACCAATTTACTCCAACACTCCTGACGCATACCAATTTGACACTCTCATTCAAAGCAGAAAAGGAGGACATAAACCATTCCTCATCTTCATAAATGTTAACACTCGTAAAGCATATGCATATCCAATGAAGAACAAAGGAACTCGTGAAGTGTTAAGAGTTTTACAAAAGTTTGTAGCAGAACATAACCCAAGTACTTTAACATCAGACCAAGACAGTGCATACCTCAGCAATGAAATCACAGATTTTCTCATTAAGCATAACATAACTCACTACACTACTGAAGACCATAACCATAACATACTCGGCATCATAAACCGCTTCATAAGAACGCTCAGAGATTTAAATCAAGAGCGAGACTTTACCGAAGAAACAATGAAACATTTTCTCGAAGTATATAATTCCTCAACACATTCTACAACAGGACATACACCAAATTCAATGACACAACAACAAGAAGAAAAGTATATACAAAAGAAACGAAGTCAAACACAAAATATCAGAAATTCAACACAATTTACCCTCATTCCTGGTACAAAAGTTCGTGTAGTTCTTGACGACAAACCGTTGACAAAGAAACGTTTAAGGTTAAGTCGAAATTATTATATCGTAGACTCTACGCAAGGTAATGGATATCTTATAAAAGCTGCTGACGACTCTATTGCGTTTTATCCTCGACATAAATTAGTCGAAAGTAGTAATGGCAAACTTGCTGAAACCATTGACGAAGCAAAGCGAGGAGTGGTTATTGAAATACTTGGCTATAACATAAACGATGACACTTATAAAGTAAGATATGAAGGAGGCGTTGAAGATGTTATACCATCTAAGAACTTGAGAGAATCTAAACCAACACATCTGGGACCATTAGAGCGGGAGTACTGGAAAGACAAAAATATGCCAGAAAGAATAAGAAAATTCTTCTAAACTTTTTCGTTGGATGTAAATCAGACAAAAATATATTTTAGGTGAAGAGGTGAGATTTCACCTAATTTCTCACCTACTTTTTCACCTGTTTTCTCACCGCTTAGCGGCTCAGATTGCTTTTGCTTTCTCGTGAATTTTCATGAATTTCCTTAAGATAGAAAAAATAAAGTTAGTTTTATTTTTATTTATTTTTTTATCTTGTATGTAAAGATATGATTTCAACAATAGGTTCTACAACAATTCAAACAACTACAGCACCAAACTCGCTAGTCATGAATCCTACATCTATGTTGGTAGAGATGAAAAGCTTCATTCCTTCTTCATATACTTTTGAGACAGAAATACAAAGAATTAAGCAAGAACTTTTAACAAGTAATTTAGACTGTAGTGCGAAAGATGAAACAAATGAACAGTATCTTTATGACATGCAGGACATTATTGACCATTTACCCAAATTGCCTGAAATCCAACAACAAAAGCTCACTATTCATGAATTCGATGAAATAGAAGTGAAACCAACTGACTCAGTAGAAATAAAGAAGTTCATACGTAAAGTAAATTATGAATTCCTTGGTTTTCATTGCAACCATAAAGTTATGAACAAAGATTGCGACATGGTTTATAAAAACATTTCTGACATATATAAATCTGGGGAGTTTAAGACATACGATAACTTTGTTTCATTAGCTGCTGAATGTGTATGGCAGATAAGAGATAAAGATAAAAGATGTAAAATATGGAATGGACAAATAAAACCAACAACTTTTGAGTTAAAGAAAACCATTGACGCCTTAGTTGTTCTAGCAGGTCAAATTTCAATGTATAACGCAAAAATGAATCCGCAATGTTCAAAATGTAAAGCAGCAATGAGGAAATATAACTACTCCGTCAAAGAGATAGAACGTATGAGAAACGACTATGCTGACTTAAAGAAAGAAGTAGAGAAACCAGCAGAAGATAAAATGGACATGTTAGCATTTCTGAACAAAAACTATCCAACAGCTGACGATTTCCTTCTATCTGACGTCAAGAAGAAGTATAAAGAAACTTTCGGCATTGTTAAAACTTTTGACATACTGACAGAAGAAATAGAAGCTACGAAATTGTTTAGAATTTCAAATATACATCGTACAATTCATGTAAAACGCTTATAAAATAACTGGGGTGAAAAATTAGGTGAGAAAACAGGTGAAATCTCACCTCTTCACCTAAAATATATTTTTATTGAATTCAGCAACAAAAATAATGAATTTCATTAGTTAGAAAAATAACGCTAATTTTTTCTAAGAAAATTTTTTATTTTGTATGTAAGAACAGTAATGACAAACATTGAGTTTGAAATAGTTAGAAAGATAGACAATGACACCAAAGTGGTTAGAATAGGTGATTTAAACGTAAGATACTCAAAGAAATACAACAAATATTCTTTGTCAGACATTATATCTCCATCTGGAAAGAAAACAAACGACTGGGTTAGAAATGCTTCAACTCAGAAAATTTTGACAAGAAATCCTGAGCTTATGATATCAGTAGCATTTCATGGAACAAGAGCATATCTTATAGACAAAAGTCTTATACCAATAGTTTTGTTATGGTTAGACCCAGTTGTTGGATATAACTTCATAACATATGGTTCATTCGATACGGAACGTTGCAGTGAAGGCTTACTTTATATCGTTCAGAAACCGAAGGACTTCAACACAAAAAGATATAAGATAGGAAGAACATATAATATAACTCAAAGATATGACAGTACAGTCAATAGAGTCAAGGTTGTGTTCGTTAATGATATGAGAGCTGCTGAAACAGAACTACTTGAAAAGTTTGAGAAAAGGTATGGTGCTCCCATAAAAGGTAAAGAAACGTTTGAAGTAGATGAGATAGATAAAGCTATAAAATTATTTGACGAAGTTGCTGAAAAATACATGTAAAGCGTTTATTTTTGGTCTTTTGTGAAAGTCAGAAAATAAAGTTAGTTTTATTTTTATTTATTTTTTTATCCGGAATATAAAGACAGTAATGTCAACATTAGAGAACACAACAACTGCTATCGTTCATGAAGCTATAAATGAAGAATACGAGTACATACAGTATAACAAACAACTTCGCCTCATTCGTTCGGTCAAAGATGACATGTACCAAATGCAAAGTATAATGAATGCTCTTCGTTCTACAAAGCAAGCATATCATTGGTTTGAAAACCAACAGACAAAAGAACTTTTAGAAGAATTTCCTCATATGATTGCTTCCCTCGGAAAAACCGAGAGAAGAGATTCCGTATGAAAATCGCAAGAATTTGGCTCCTGGTTTGAAAGGATATTATGTTCATAGACTTTTAGTAAATGCTGTAGCAATGTGGGCTTCACCTCGTTATGCTTGTTATATTTTCATGATGTTAGATGAACTATATAAAGCAGAACGTGGAGAGATGGAAAAGAAACTTCAAGCAAAAGATGAAGTCATTGAATCCAAAGACAAAAGCATACAGAAAAGAATACCACGTTCAGTACCAAAAGGAAAGGAAAAGAACTATAAGTATATGATTTACGCTGAAGAGTTGGAGAAAGAAGAAGATAAAGATATGGTTATGTTGCATTTAGTCAGAAGAAACAACAAGAGCTTTTATGACTTAGCTAAGATATATAAATCTGACAGAAACTGGTTCTATCGTGAAAACTTACCGATTTCAATGACACCGAATGAGCAAATAAAGGAAATTGTCAAAAATACTCTTCCTCAAACACACTATGACATCAAAGGTTGCACAATACTTACATTCAAAGAAGACTTACCATTACTGAAGGAAAAAATAACAGAATATTTCGATAACTTCAAAGAGGAAGAATAAAAAAATCTAAGCTATATTTTTTATAAAATTTATCTCATATGAAAGAACATGAATTTAGAATATTCGGAACTCATGACAGAAGAAGAGAACGAACAACATGTAAAAGATTATGCAAAATTTCTGAAGGTATATAAAGCATTTAAACAATATCTAAATGCTTCTAAAGATTATGCAAAATTTCTGAAGGTATATAAAGCTTATGAAAAAGCGTATGAAAAGTTTATACATTGGGGAATTGTTGTAAAATATTGATATGAAGACTAACCAAAAATATATTTTTTGCTTAAATAACGTCAGGGTCAATTTCTTCAACCATTTCACTTCCTTCGTCAATGTCAATAGAAGCTTCTTCAACTTTTGGTAAGAACTTTTGTATGACATCTTTGTTCGTTATTGTCTTCAGAGATGAAGGATAATATTTCACAACTGTTTCACCTTTCTTATATTCTTTCTGTTCGGAAAGATTCATAGCAATACTGAAGAAGTCAACGTTAGAGTTCTTTATGACAGTATAATGAGTATCTTTGACATTCACGAAGAAACCCTTTTGTTTCAAAACTATTGCTAACTCTTGTGAAGTATAACGTTTGCGGTCAATGACAATAGCTAATGGTCTGACATACTGACCGAACTTAGATTCTTTCACAAACTTCTTGTTAAAGATAACATTAACATTTGAAGCACCATTGAACTCATTCTTGATGGCAGTAGCGAGAGCATTGTATGAAAAGAACTTGCAATCTTGCATGTGTTTCATTATAATAAAAAGTTCGAAATATTTTAAAACTAGCCTTAAAAAATCTAAGCTAATTTTTTTCTAAGAAATTTTTTTATTTCCTACTAAAGATGTATCGGAAGTTGTCTAAGTTAGAACACTCGGAAATAAAACAACTTCTTACAGAAGCTAACATAGATGTTGCAAAACATTACGCGACAAACAAAAAAGCACTCGCTGACATCCTCAATGACTACAATGGTGAAATAACTTATGATAGAATTCATGAGTTCATAAATGCAAGAGCATTTCCTTTAAATGACGTTGCTATTGACTTATATCATAGATGTTCAATACCTCATGAAGTAAGGCGTGAGATGTTTGACATAACAAATGCGAACGTTGGTCATACTCGTAAAGCTCTTTCTCATGACGTTCGTCAAGAGATGTTTGACATAACAAATGCAAACGTTGGTGAAACACGAAAGAGAGATGACACACTGAAACAACAGAGAAGAGAGATGTTTAAAAATGCTATAGAACAAGTTCGCAAAGCTAACGATGTCATTCGTTCCATTGACGACAAACCAAAAGAAGGTGAGAGATGGTTAAAGAAAGATGAAGAGAATAGGAAGAGAAATGTGAAGTCAGGCAATAGACTCATTGACTTTAACATCGAAGCTTTAGATGAACCAAACAAAGACTACTTACACAAACATTTCGGTAAGGTTTTCATGAGACTCTTAGAGAAGATTAAAATAAACTCCCAACAAAGATGGATGGTATGTTATAAACTTGGTGGAAAGTATGAATGTTCTACGTTAAACCTCAATAATATTGGAACATTACTACATCAGCTCTTGAAGGAGAACTTTATATCAGAGATAGAAGCAAATGCCGCAGGTATTGTTGAAATGCACTATGACTTTTTCTTGACAAACATAAAGAATCTTACTGAAATAAAGATGTATGATTTAACAGAATATGAAGGCTTAACGATGTCAGATGTAAAGAAAGGCAAACCAAAAAAGAGACCATATAGAGATGAAAGCACACTGACAAATGACCAGAAAGCCATTTTGGAAGCTCTTAAGCAAACAGGAAACCCAGCACTTATAGAAAGCTTTTGGAAAGATAATGGTGAAAAGAAGTTTTATAAGAAGAGAAGCGGTCAGTTCTGGAAGTATCTTTGCACATTACCTATAAATCTTGAACGCTACCAAATCTTCAATGAACTGAACAAAAGAACTGCAACACTTATGACAGAGGACAATTGTTTCATTTATGCTTGCATTCAGGCTGGAGTAAATGAAGAAACTATTGACCACATGAGAGAAGTCATTCGTGTTAGAGACTTTCCTCAAAGTAAAGTACAAGAAATTTCTGACGCAACAAGTATAGCATTTAATGTTACCATTGGTTATTTCAATGACTCAAGACATAATGAAATAAAGAGATATATACCAAAAGAATGTGAAACTGTTTCGAACTATTGACTTACTTCTTGTTGAAGACCACTACATGCTAAACGAAAGATTACCAATGACAACATATTTCATTCGCAACTATATAGAAATCTTGAAGGAGTGTGGTGGAATGAACATTGAAAAACAGATGAAAATATATACAATGAGAGATGGTAAATACATTGTTCGCATGGATAGAACTACACCGCTATGGGATGTTATGAAAACATTGTGGGAGTGCAAATATTTCGAAACCTATTTCTTATGGAGAACTTTCACATATACGACTGACTTATATAAACAGAACCTTGCACCATTTAAAGATTTGACATATGCTCCAAAGTATTGTGTACAACTGAAGAAGAAAGCAGAGTCAAAAGAAGTAAATAAAAATAAGTGCAAGTTCATTCCTGAGCACGTTTTCTTTGCTGACTTTGAGTGTAGTACGATGGCTTTCATAAAGCTTTTAACATCTGTTATGACAGTGAAGATGGTTCAGTGAGTGAAAGCATATGGGGTCAAAACTGTGCAACAGAATTTTTGGAGCGACTTCCTGACAAGAGTTTAATATATTTCCAATAACCTCAGCTATGATATAAACTTCATCTTAAGACACATGACAGAAGTGAAAGGAACTCCCATCATTAAAGGTTCACGAACAATGCAAATAACTGGTTTATATAAAGGACGGGCAATTATTATAAAAGACTCTTACAGTGTTATAAATAAGAAGCTTAAACTATTTCCTGCTATGTTTAACTTACAAACAGGACCGAAAGAAGTATTTCCATATAACTACTACAGCAGTGTTTTGTTAGCAAAGACAACAGAACTGGTATCATTTCTGAAGCATGTAAGTTTGTCAAGGATGCAGATACATTCATGAAGAACATAGATTCCATCAAAGGTTGCAGAATAGATGAGAACCACTTCGACTTAGAAAAATATAGCACGTTTTACTGCAAACAAGATGTAAGAATTTTAAGAAGAGGTTTTGTAAAGTTCCGCAATGACTTATTGAAAGAGTTTGATTTAAACGTTTATGACTACGTTAGTATTTGTTCTAATTGCTAACAAATTGTTTGAGAACAGAGTATACTTCCCGAATGGAAATCTTTATGACCTCTCAAATAAACCAAGAGAATTTATTTCGAGATGCATTCAAGGTGGAAGATGTATGTTGTCAGATAACATGAAACAAAAGAGCAAAAAGAAACTCATTGCTGACTTCGACGCTGTTTCATTATATCCACCGCTATAGCAAGACTTTATACTTTAGAAGGAATTCCAAAAGTATTGAAGGAGAATGTTAAGCACAGAGTATCTCATGAGACATTTATTCGATGACGACCAAAAGGAACCCATTGGTGAAAAGTTTATGTCTGGCTTCTTTGTTCTCATTAAGATAACAGAGATTGGAATACATAGACACTTTCCTTTAATAGTTTGTGACCCTGAACTAAATCCAGAACTTAACGTTCCCAGAAGTTCAAACACTTGCTGTTTAATGTATGTTGACCATATAACATTACAAGACCTCATAAAATATCAAGGTGTCAAATGTGAAGTGTTGCAAGGATACTATTACGATGGAAACAGAGATTAGAATAAGAGATGAAGTAAAGAAGTTGTTTGAGTTAAGGTTAAAGTATAAGAAAGAAGAAAACCCTTACAAGAAATTATAAAACTCATTCTGAACATATTTATGGCAAAACTATTCTATCTCCTATTGAGTCAAAAATAACCATAGTAGATGACAAAGATGCTATAAGATATGCTATAAGAAATTACAACCATATAGTGAAGTTCGAAGGTTTGGATGGTTCAGATAAAACTATTTTCAAGCTAACGAAAAGCATTTGCAGACACTTTAACTTCTGTCCACTTGGTGTTAATATTCTATCTATGTCGAAGAGAATAATGTGTGAAGTATTCTGTACTGCTGAGGACATGGGACTTCAAATATTTTACCAGGACTGTGATAGCATGCATATTTTCAATGAAGACATACCAAAGCTTGCAGCAGAGTTTAAGAAGAGATACGGTAGAGAACTTATGGAAAAACATTAGGTCAATTTCATTCTGACTTCGCAGAAATAACACCTGGAAAACAAAGTTTAGCATACAAGTCAATATTTTGTGGAAAGAAGACTTACATAGACTTACTCACGAATGATTTAAATGAAGTTGCATTTCATGCACGTTGAAAGGTGTAACAAGATGTTATTGCTTTAACGCTAATGAAATGTTTCCTGAAGCTATACAATGCTATTACAATGAAGATAAGAACATTCACATACCTGTTGGAACATATGACAAAGACTCTGAGTTCAGTTTAATGAAACTTTACAAAGCACTTTATGACGGTCAAGAGATTGCATTCGACTTATGTAAGTCTTCTAGTCCTTGCTTTGCTGAAAAGTTTAACTTCTCAATAACGACTAAAACAAGCTTTATTCGTAAGTTGAAGTTCTGAGGTCATTTATTTTTGTCAGCAATGAGGTCATTCGTGATAAAAATAAGCCCATGTGGTCATTTACAATACTGCGATGGTAGAGTTTAAGAGTTGTGCTTCAATGTAGAGACAGTCCTTATGGTCTGGAGGTAAGAACACTGGGCAGTTATGGTCATGAGTGGAGAACATGTCTATCCAAAACTCACGATTGAAGCCAGTTAATTTATAGTATTTAGGGTTAGGAAGTGGTGAAGTTCTTGTATGACCAATGAACTCATTTTCAACTTTACTTATTTGAAATAATATAGCTTGCTTTCTATCCCAAATGCCAGGTGTTACAATCTTTGAAAATTCATTTTTCCTCGGAAGCATTGCATCATAATTGAAAACATTCTTGAAATCATCACTGGGTTCAGAGATTTGAAATCTTATACGTAATGGATTTTCTTTCTCTTTAGCGACTTCATTGAATGGTGAATATATAACAAACTGACAGTCATGTGTTCCATCTTCATTTTCATTAAATTCATAATGAAAGTCTATAAGTTGTGGCTGACTACCTTCTTCTTTCAGTTGTGCAAGAAACTCACGTAAAGGCTGTAAAGTTTGTACTTCAATGTTGAACTTTTTCTCGAACATTCATTAAATGAAATCATACATTGCAACAATGTTGTATCGTCTTTAAAGTATTTGTATATGTGAATGTTTTGGGCGCTTAAAGACTGTTCGTCATTTTCTATCTCGACTTGAAGTATAAAGTCAACCTTTCTGAAAGCACGTGTTATATACATATGTTATGCCAATGTACTTCTCTTCATTTATGTTCACAATCCAGTCTGTTGGAAACTTAAACGTTACTCTGTTCCCCTTTATTTTGACGTCAGGGTTTTCACTACTGAACGCAACAGATAAAGGTATTTGTCTATACATTTAATTCGGATAAAAATAAACCATTTACTCTTTCTTGCTTCAGCTTCTTTAGCTTTTGCTTCAGCTTCTTCTCTAGCTTTTTTCGCCAGCAAACGTGGGTTCTTTTGTCTTCCAGCAGCTAATGCAGCAAGTTGTTTTTCACTAAGTTTTCTCTTTGGTCTCTCTGGCTTTTGTTCTTGTTTTTGTTCCTTCAGTTCGGATAAAATTTGCTCGCGAATTTCTTTCTTCAATGCTTCAACATCTATGACCCCTTGGGTCTTGTCCGTAGGGCTTGTCTGAGTCATTTGACTGCAGATAAAAAACAAAATTAAAACTTTAACCGATGTAAAATGAGCTTGTCAAAATCAGAGCGAGAGTCTATTATATTAAATGACGCAAGAGGAATACAACATCCTTTCTATTACGTAAGTCAGAGTAAAGATGGTAAAATATACGTAAGAAAAAGAAAGGTTCCATTAGCGAATGCAGAAGCGACAACATTAAGGTGCATGGCACCGAGGGTGAAGCCCATATAAAACCTTCTGTTCAAACTGAGCCACCAAAAGAACAGAAGAAAAGAAGCCAGATGTACTTTCAATAACGAACCAAGAGCTTATTGCAAAGTTCGTGAATTTCATTGAAAACAAACCGAGTCAAAGAACCCTGACCCACCAGTGAAAGAAGTTGAGACAAAAGAGAATGTACAGTTCATTGAAAATGTCAAGAAACAACTTCCACCACGAATGCCAAGAAGAAGAGTGAGAATAATGAAGTAAATAGATATTTTTATCTGAAGTAAATACATGCAGAACGAACAGTTAAACGAATTTACTCCAGCAGAGCATATTCATCAGATTCGCTCATATTTCGATATCATAGACAATGCAGTTCAAATTGGTGACACTAATAGAAAATATTCTGACGCAAAGATTCCATCACAACCTGGAACTGCTAAAGATAACACATGGGTAACATTCAATCTCTCACCTCCTGGTGAAAATATGTTGGACCTTTACAATACATTCATTACGTATAAAATGGAAGGTCAATTTATTGTAGATAAAGAAATTGGTTCAGGTTCCAATAAAACAAACCCACCAGGATTTTGGATTGGTTTCGATGACGCTTTCTATGCAGTTGCTGGATATCAAATCCTTGCAAATGGTCGTATCGTATATTCTCAAGACAACGCAAGAGAAGAAGCATATATAACTTCAAACTCACAAACTACCGAACAAATAAAGAAAGTAGATGTTTTCTCAAAGACTCGACATGAAGATGTATGGAGTCATTCGGGAACATGCAGAACAGGACAAATTGTTAGTGGTCCAATTACAGCAGGAAAATCATTTGATTTTAAGCTTCGTTTAAGAATTCCTGTTAGAAGATTCCTTCCATTAGAAGCTATTCGATTTATTCCAGCTTTTGCAGGAAACATTCAGCTTAAAGTAAAGTTCAGTAGCGACGCCTTACAATGCACATCTATATCTGTAAATGATATCATTGCTTTCAATCCAACTCTTAAAGTTGCATTTGCTTCAGATTCAAATCCACCGACAAATAAATTTGTTCCATGGAATGAACCATTCACTATGATAACGAAGGCAGTAGAAGCTAGTGGAACAGTTACTATTACAACTGTAACCCAGCAACTATTTCGAACAAAGATGGATTTTAATGAATGTTTCATTCATCCAAAGTCATTCTCTTTAGACCCTAACATTTATACAGAACTTGTAGAACATTATACAAACGAGGCTTTATGTTTTCCTGTTAAAGTTATGGATTGGATTCCTATGGACGGTTCATTCTCAAAGAATACAGATAGTTCAAGTGCAACATTTACAGCAGCTTATACGCCTATTAATGTTAAAAGTATTTGGGCACTATTTAGAAAGAAAGACAACTATTATGTTAATTTTGAGAACCCTAAGTTTAAATATCTTCAGCTTTCCATGGGAGCTTATGGAAATATGCCTGCAGAACCTGAAAAATCATATGGACCTGTATTTTATGAAATGGTTGCGAACGCTTGCAATACAAACAATGATATGATAGGATTTAATGAAGATGTTATGAGGTCATTGGTGGATGATGGTAGTGTGGAACATAAATGGGATAGCTATGACAACACACATTTCTTATGTGGTTTTCCAACAGAAGTGGACTTTTGCTTCCAGCAAGGTCAAACATCTACTGCTCCAATAACATACAAATTGTCTGTTAAAGGACCTATTGAACTAGCAACTGAAAATGTACCAAAGCCACTTATTGGATTTATGAGGGATTGTTGCTTTGCAATACAAGTAAGACAGTCAGGCATACCAATAATAAGACTTGACGACTATAACTTAGCAGCTGACGACAGTGAGGAATAAAGGATGAACGTTTATTTTTAAAGCTTATAAATGAGTTCTTCATCAAGCTCTCGTGAACCTTCACCATCTATGAAACAAACTTTACCAAACGATTATGGAGCACCTATTGAATATTTCTTACGAGCTGCACAATGGCAAAGAGCAGTCTCACCAAGGTTAGGTGTTCCACCAGCTCCTGTCAAAAATAGCATTTGGTCAAGTCCCTATATAATATATGGTCTCCCACTAGGTTTGCTAGCTACAGCAGGAGCAGTAATGATGTTGAAAAGAAATAAAGCAAATGTTATAAATAATACTGAAGTAGCTGAAGTTAAACAAACTCCGACACCTTCGCCAAAACCAACGCCTTCAATGACTCCTGAACCTATGGAATTACAAACTCCTGTTCAAAAGTCAACTCCAAAACCGACTCCAACATTTAAACCAGAACCTACACCACAAATAAATCGTAAAACTCCTGCGTTTCCTTACTGAAAAAATAACGTTATTTTTATTTAATATTAAAATTTTTATTTGATTGAAATGACGACTAAAGTCACTGAAGCAATGAAACAAAAGTTTTTGGTAGAATACATTAAATCAGGAACTATTCCAGAAGGTTTTTACATTCATACTATGAAGGATGGTAGAGTTCAGTTTAGAAAGATAAAGCAACCATTAGATAAAGAAGGAATTTTGAGAAAGATTAAATTACATGAAGACAACATTACTGAACTTAGGAAGAAGTTAGAAGAGTTGGAGAAAGGAAGAGAGTTATAAAGCAATGAATTCAACAGGGTGAAAAAACAGGTGAAAAAAGAGGTGAGATCTCACCACTTCACCTAAATTTATTTTTGTGCTATGTTTTCATACGTGTGAGGGTGGTGATATCATTAATTTTTAAGTTTATTTTTTATTTTATTTTTATGTAAATGACGAAAACTATTAAGATAACAAACTACAACGGTCATGAGTTCAAGAATTTGTTCTTCGTTCCTCGTGAAAATACATTCTATCAGATACGAGGGAGAAAGGGTAAAGTTAGTTTGAGCGTTTATGAAGGAATGAAGAATGGAAAGTTTATACAAGCATACGATACAAACGGTAAACGTGTTTCATTAGCTTTGTCAAAACTTACTAACATTTATTTTGACAGTGACTTTGACGATTGGAGCGACAGCAGCGATACTGAAGAATATGAACTATTGTGTGAAGCACAGCAATGGGAAGAGTTGCAATACTTTTGTAAATGAGAACGTTTATTTTTTACAGTAGTGAAGTCGTTTGTGAAAACGTTAGTGAGGTGAAGTGGTTGGCGGCTTTATAAATATTTAAGGTTAAGTTGGTGTTTGTGTTGTAAAATATACGTTAACGGTTTTGTAAAGTGTCAAAACAGCTAAGTGGTGTATGGAGGCGCGCAGTGCCTCTGTACACGACTTAGGTATACTAACTGCAAATGGATTGGAAAGGTTCAGTGTACAAGGTTGAAGGAAGGTGTGAAACCTCCTCCTTGCGTAATCCACGTATTACCATCATTTATAGTTTCTCATGGACAGTAATGTTTTCATACTGATTTTTATTTGTTATGATATAAAATTTTTGTAATTAATTTTTCTTCAACGTTCACTAATGATTTTTATAAACTACGATCTGTTTCCTCTAAGAAGTAGTATTTTGAACTTACCAAATCTCCAATCGAGTTATATTTTGAAGTTTATTTTTAGAATCGAAATAATTTTAGTTTTTAGTAGATATCTACATTACTTTCATGCCATATATTCTTGCTTATTGCAATGTATAGGTTTAATTCATTGTTCTCAGTAATCTAGCATCAAAAGTGACAAAAATGAATATAGAAATTCCAATTGATGTTCCAGCAGAAATACAAGAACAAGTTGTTGAAAAATTAGAAGAAAAAGGTGTGAAAAAGCGCCTTGAAAGAAAAGTTCAGCTTGGAATCAACATTGCTATTCAAGAATTAGAATCTAACCAAACACAAGACAGTGTTTTAATGCGTAAAAGTACAATCAGGGAAGCTAAATCAGAAAATGAAGCACTACATAGAATTTACAAATATTTGCAAAACAAAGGTCTCTTATATACGTATCAATGCATGAAAGAAGAGGTTGCATCTTCTAAAAAACGTTCATACACAAATAGTAGTATGAGAAAATGATTGATTTTGCCTTAACAAAATCGTTTATATTTTCAAGTTCCAAAAAAGCGAACTTTTACTAGTATCACTTCATTACATTTGTTTTATGTTTAATATTTTATGATATTATTACAGATGAAGTCCAAATTTTTCAATAATTTTTTAAGAAAATTACAGAAAATGGAAAATGTAGTTAATGATTTGACATTACTTTAACTATTAACAGATTTTTCAAATGCATTCATTGTATGAAATAACGAAATACTTTGTTTTTTATTACATAACGGAATAAAACCTTAATATTACTATATAATTTTAATCACATAATGTACCATTTGCCATATATAGGCTGTAAATTTTATTTTGTTCTTCTAAATATATTTTCCATTTTGAATATTGCTTGAAATGAAAGTATTTGACAAGGATGTTGATCTATAGGTGTTTTAATTAATATAGGATCACTTAGTTAATGGAACTGAAGTATGGACATGGGATCAATATTCTAAAGTACTCACAAAATCTAGATTGAGAGGCGGTCAATGACTTTTGAGGGGAAATTAACACATGGAATTTAATATTATTTAGGTTGATATTCTTGCTTATTATTTCAGAAAAAAATCTTAAAAATTTCAATATGAAAATTGAAAGCAATTCAAAAAAATTGCTAACATGTAAATTTTAATATCCTATGCATAATTTCATATTTTGAACATTTTTTATTTTTGTTTAAAACTTAAAATTTTGCGAATTTAATATAATTTATAAAATATAATACGTATATATATTTAAAATACACTAAATTTAATTGTTAATTGACGTTTTTGGGAATGAATTTTATCAAAACATGCCTGAATCCGAAAATTTGAAAGAACGAATTACACAATCATATATGTAGAATTCAAAATACAAACTTAAAGATTGTATACGTTTAAAATTATTCAGATTGTGTTTGATTTCCACTCATTCTGTTTCTTTTGAACTCTAACACTAACATTTTATGATGATTACATGCTCCATTTATACATGGTTGAATTGTTCCAGATTCTACCAGAAAATCAATCCAAATTTCTCAATGCATTCATGTTGATTGGACAAAATTTAAAATTTATCAGCCTGTTTCCAGAGAAACTCATATATTCCCTAATGAAATGTAATTTTTGCTACATTTATTTCAATCAAATTTCAAAAAATTGACTGCAGAGCTTGAAAAGGTGATGAATCATGTTGTTATTAGATGTACATATTAGATTTACTATTTCCAAAAAATGCTCAAATTTGAATAGTTTTTAGAAAATTTGGAATTACACTCCTTACATTATATATAATTAAATGTTTAAATTTTATTTATTTTTCCCTTTTAATTTTATATCGTGCTCTATCAAAACTAACCTCTCAATTGAAGGCCACAAAATCTCAGTAGTGGGGGTACACAAATTTTGTATGGAGTACGGTTCAATTTTTGAGAGCCTCACTACTTAGATTTTGTGACTACCTTAAAGTCATTGGTTTCTCCATGAGTTTATCTAATCGCTTATTTTATATAAAAATGATTATCCCGTGATCTAAATACCCTTACTGACCATGCTGAAAGATAATTTTCAAGTCAGAACATGAAAAATCCGGAAAATTTTACGGTAATATTTGTGTACGCACTATAAGCAGTATAATGCATGATAAAGTAGTGAGAAAATTTTGAATATTTCTAAATTGAAATGTCACTTTTTACCACATTCTGAATGACAAATACTGAGCCACCTGAATCCAAAGAACAACAAACTATGTCAGGTTGGCTCGAACGTAAGTTTATTTTAGGTTTTTGGAGCAAAAGATTTTGTAAACTTGAAGATAATAGGATGTTCTTTTTTATTTCTAACAAACAGTGAGATATGGAAAGATGAAGAATGCACAAAAATAGATTCTGAAATGGAAATTACCCAGCAAACTACAATTGAAATCCTTGATGATGATAAAGAATTCAGATTCGTTGTCGAGACACCAGATGTTGATACTTATCAACTAAAAGCTGCATCTAAAGACGAGCTAATGAAATGGATTTTAGCCCTTCGTAGTATAACTTTTTCCAACAATGATCTGACAATGGAAAACTTCAAAATCCTGTCGGTCATCGGAAGAGGATTCTACGGAAAAGTTATGCTCGTTTCAAAAATATCCAATAATGAAATATTTGCAATCAAATCTATCCACAAATCAAGATTAATTCAATCGGATAAAGTCCATACAGTTATCGCAGAACGTAATATCTTATCAAAAGCCGCTCATCCGTTTATCATCTCTTTGAAATTCGCCTTCCAAACTCCATCAAAATTTTATCTTGGTCTCGAATACGCTCCTGGAGGGGAATTGTTTTTCCACATGCAGAAACGTGGAGCGTTCCCTCTAGAAGACCTAAAAATCTATTTGGCAGAAATTGCTTTGGCTTTAAATCATCTTCACTCAATCGGAGTTGTTTATAGAGATTTGAAACCAGAGAATGTTTTGTTGAGCGCTCAAGGACATATTAAGCTTACAGATTTCGGATTGGCAAAAGATCTTTACAATGAAGAGCTGACATCGACATTTTGCGGCACTTCGGAGTATTTGGCACCAGAAATAATTCGTCATGAGAAATACGGCATAGAAGTTGACTGGTGGTCACTTGGTATTTTAACTTACGAATTATTGTTCAATAAGACACCATTTTGCCATCCGAACAAGTCAAGATTATTCCAGAATATCCTAGAAAAGGAAGTTCAATACCCTGCCGGTGTTCAAACCTCAATTATAGAGTTCATCAACGGATTACTTCAAAAAGATAAGAGAAAGAGGTTGACATTCAAGCAAATGCAGAACTTGGAGTTCTTTAAAGGCCTCAATTTCAATGATGTCCTTGCATTGAAAGTTCAACCTTCGTTTATTCCGAAATGCGACAATCAAGGTGTTCCATCGAACTTCTATACCGAATTCACTACCGAACAGCCGGCCGATTCATTTGTAATGCCAGTTTACGGATCTGCAGAAAAATATCCTGGATTTTCGTACATGGAACCAGAAGGTCTTCAGAGCTCTCTGCCCAAAGATTTTGCTGATTTAGACTTGAAGGATTCAGAGCCTCATGATTCAAATGAAACCAACTAATAACTATTTTGTTTATCTTATTTTTATTTACCATTATGTTTAAACGCTTTTATATTTCTGTTTTATCTAATCGATCATGACATTTCCCGATAAAATAAATTCAGCTCAAAATTATCCGTGGATATTCAACACAAAATCTAGATAACAATAAAATATTTTGGCTTTAGATAATAAATTTATTACCAATAAGGACATTTCAGATAAACTAAGAAATAATGACCGAATTATTTGAGTAATTATCGAATATTGCCAATTAATATGTCAATAAATTTCAAAGTAATGATCATGCTTACATATAAAAAGCTCCAATTCTTGATTTGCTTCGGTATTTTTTATTGAATTCGTATGAATTTAAAGATGCAATGAAGTAATTAATTAATAATAAAAAGAATAAATAAAAGAAGTTTTAATTTAAGATATAAAAGCTAAAGTGAATAAAGATCATCTTAGTACATTCTTTGCTTGATGCTTGCAATGACTGGACGAAGGAACTGGACAATGTTAGCTCCACTTGTTGATCCGGAGTCACCGATGAAGAGCCATGTTGATGTAGCAGTAAGATGGTACTTTTCCTTGAACAACATGCCAATAAGCTTTGTGCACTGAACGTAGAGGCCACCGTTAGCCCATGAGAAGCAGAAAGCAGCAAATGGAACGATTTCTGGGATCTGGGAAATGTTGATTGCGAATCCGAAGCAAAGAAGGATGAAATAGAAGACCGGATTGATAATCCTCTTCTTATCCATGACCTTTCTTGAGAAGAAATCGCCTAAGAAGGAGCATGTATTGTAAGCAAGCATGAAGAAGTTGTTATCAATTGTAAATCCTAAGAGACGGTATGTAACACGAGACTGGTATGTATAGAGGGTGCATCCTGGGTTGAATAGTGCCAAACAAACCATATTCAATAAGAAAACTAAAGAGCAGAACCAAATCTTGGGGAACCAATCGCCAATGTTGCAGATATCATTGCCAAAGTCTTTGAGGTTGAAATTGTGCTGGCCACTAGAATTTCTGTAGGCTTCTGGGAAGACTGTAAGGTGATAAAGGATAATAGCAATTAAAAGGCAAACAGCTGTAACAATATAGAAAACTGTATATGGAACTCCGAATCCCATTAAGAAGAATCCAAGGATTGTAATAAGAGAAACGCCAACAGGCATGGCAAGGACAACATATAGACGAGTATTGCCCATATTGTTAACGACGTTTAACATATTTGGACCGTATGAGCCTTCGCAAACACCGCAGAATGCAAATGGAATGAAAGCAAGGCCAACCGGGTTACTTTTACGGTTTGATACGAAAATGAAAAAGCACATACCAATGATCATGGAGATTAAAGATGTAGTAACACGCCATTTTGGTGAAAGGCATCCGAATACGATGTTGTGTCCTAATACACGGAAAATTAAGTTAAAGAAATAAACGAAAGAAGTAGCGACACCGTAAGTGTTAGAAAGTTTATCACCTGAAGCACCAAGTGTAAGGCCGAAATTAACTGAAAGTTTTTGTTGAAGTGCAAAGCAGCAAGCATAACCCATGAAAACAGGAAGGGTGATGAAGAAACTGCTCTTAAATGTCTTCTTGCGTGCAACATCATCAGATGAAGTCATTAACATATCCGAATCGGTCTGAGATGTACTCATCCAATCAAGTTTATTGAAACCGCAAAAAAGTGACGATGGATCACAATTTAACAACTTGGATAAACTGATATCGTAGTAACTTTTATAATGAGATAATTATTTTTTAAATTTTTACTCTCAAATTTACGGATCACATATTTATTTTAAATATTAATATCAAATTGTGATATAAGTGTATAATGGTTTTCATTGAAAATTGAATTTCTTACAATCCATTGAAAAAAATCGATGGATGGAAACACTGATAGTTACCTAATTATGCCATAGTACTTATAATTTTGTTTTTATATTCAGCCATGAGATCAATTTGCGAATTACACGTCGAAAATGGAATAATTTTGTAATTCCGGAAAACATTTTAATGAAAATATTGTAATTCCGATTGGGACCACAATTGTTTGTCATTTTAATAGTAATCTATGATGTCAAATGTTCAATTCTTATTATAATCGGAGATCCAAATATTCCATAACGAATGTTGACTTGAAAATGAATCATTTGGAAAGCTTACAATCATTTATTAGACCTTCAAAAAGCTGTGTTCATTGGAACTAATATAATCTGTAAGTCATTTGTCAAGGAGCAACTTGTTTTTTCAAATATTTGAAGGGTTTGTTCAAAATGTTTTGCTAGTTTGATTAATCGTGTACTGATTTACATTTTGTATGGAGATATGAACTATGTTTGTAAATTTGAATAATGACGAAAATACAAATTCAACATCTCGTTTTTTGGAGTTGTATCATTATCGTACAAAGTAGTGGTTTTATTTTAGTTCTTTAACATATTCACTCCTGAAAAATGATTTGTCAATATAAATTAGCAAAATCTATGTGTTAAATTCTAAAATTTCAGAATCAAGTTGAAATATATAACTTTATTACGGCGTTTATATCATTGTGGCTCATAGTTTTATGCTAAAAAGGTTAAATGGTCATGCATTGTCGAAAATCTTTCAATTTGATTATCTATTGAGATTTCTTATAAGTAACATGAATTACAATGAATATCAAATCATTCATAGATCTATATCCACTATTTTTATCGAAAATCAGAAGAAATTTTCAGTTTTTGTAGCAAGCAATATCCTTGAATACATAATGATTATATTACAGCTGTAGGCTGTAAAAATGTAAGTTTGTGGCGAACAATCCGACAGTTTTTCCTCTCAAATCAAAATCTTTCTTGGAATTCACGAAGATTTTAAAAATTTAAAAACAGAACTGTTTGTAAAAGTTAACTGAGTATGATTTTCCCTTCAAAATCATCTGACTAATGTAAAACTATCAAAACAACCGATAGAAATTGAACGGGAAAATAAAAATAAAATTCAATTCGACGGTTTTTTTCTATAAATCTAATTCATAAATGGATACAACAGAGCCAGACTATCTTCTTAAGATTTTCCTCATTGGTGATTCTGGTGTTGGTAAGACAAATCTTCTCGCAAGATTCACTCGTGATCAATTCAATCCTGAATCAAAGTCAACAATCGGCGTCGAGTTCGCTTCAAAGACAATGCAAATCGAAGGCAAGACAATTAAAGCCCAGATTTGGGATACTGCTGGTCAGGAGCGCTATCGCGCAATCACTTCTGCTTATTATCGTGGTGCAATCTGCATATTCTTCTCTGAAATCTTTTCCTTTGTAATACATTACGCAGCCAGATAAGAATCCACAAACAATAATTTCGGCAATTGCAATGATTGACCAAACAGGCTTCTTAAATTTATACATTGCCAGATAGTATATAGAAGGCAATATAAAAGCAAGCAAAATAAAGCAAACACTTCCAATAAGATCTAATAATTCAACTAATTTCGAGCTTCCCCATGATATAAATACTGAAAACAGCCACATAACGAGTCCACAAGTAACTCTAGATGTGGTTTGATCATCTTTATACGGAATAAATATCTCAGATAAGGAAATCGCATTGATATAGTTGTACATGTTGAAGGAAATAAATGTTTTGATGACAAGAGACAGTTTTCCAATGATTACAAATACATTCATCTGATTAGATTCTGACATGAAAATTAAATCATCTTGTGTATTGGAGAAATAAGTAAAATATCCTAAATATCCACCTGCAAGATTGATGATCACGGAAACAATGGAAGTAATCCATGTAATGGAGCAGATTTTGTTACGGGATGCATTTTTGATATCTGTTGAAAGAAGAGAAACAAAAGGATGTGTAAAGAAAACAATACTGAATAAATCAAAGCAACCAACTAAACCTGATATATCTGAGCCCCAATAAACGATTTCTTTGTTTGGATCAAAACCATCATTTTTCAAGGACTTGAAAAAGAGAATCGCTTCGCAGATCAAACAAATAAGGAGTAAAACGTTTGCAAATATTGCAATATACTTCATTCCTGCCATTCTTCGGACGCATAAAGCAGGAATTAATCCTAAAAATGAAATAACAAAACGAGGGAACCATTTTGCTGAGAAAACTGTTTTCTTTTCTGAATCAACATAAGAAATCAGATCAGAGTATTGCTCTAAGTAATCTGATAAGGAAACACTAGAAAGTGAGATAAAAGCAATAAGAAGAACAGCTCTAGGGAAGAAAACCAAGCCTTTTCCAAATACATCTGACCAAATTGATGGATAGGAGTTTTCTTGATTAAATCTCCATGTCCGAACAAAAATATGAAACGAGAGCTGAGTTAATATCAATGCAACTAATGCGCATAGAAGAGCTTGAAACACTCCTGATTGGAAAGTGTATGACATATAAAATGGATTATTTGATATGCCACAAATTAATAAAATCATCACTGTAGAGAAAACAGATATATCATTTCCTGTTTTCAGGTTCTCATATAGCAAGGCATCATGATTTATTGAGTTAATATTGAAGCGGTAGTCATTGAACAATAGATCTCCACCCAACATCGCTTTGAAAATGAAGATTCAATGAGTAGCGAAAATCACTCAAAAATTTGAGATATGTTTGAATTGAAAATCATACAGGTTTAAAATCTTTTCATGTACTTGAGTAATGCACAAATTCCGATATAAGAGGATATTTACTTCTAATTCAAATTATTGAATGTAAATTTGGACTATATGAAAATTTTAGTTAATTATTATTTAATACATAATAAGAAGCTAATCAATAATTGATTGAAAATCGCTTTTGAAAAGTTTATTTATATATCACAAAAAATTATCTAATAATATTAATATATTATATGCATACAATATTTACTAACAAGGTTTATTAAAATATTCTTAAAATTTTTGAAAACATAACGCGCAATTTATAAACCAACATAAATCATCCATCTTTATGTATATGATCTAAATTGATCAAAAACAATCCTTGCAAAAATTTCATAGAGAATCCAATAAAATTGAAACGAACTAGTTTAGGAATAATGTACTTACCATGTAGATCTGAATAAACTATTTTTTCAATCTCGAGAACAGTAGGGTTCTAAGCTATAAATTATTATTTTTTCCGACTTTTATATCAATTACTTTCAAAAATTGAAATGATACGGAAATATTATTGATCGTAATTTTCTCAATCTTATTGGATTTTGGCCAGATATTAATAATTAAATTCAGCTCAATGATATACTAATGAGTTATTATTATCAAGTCAGAAATCCAATGAGTAGGGGTAATTTTAGCTAAAAGTGACACACCCGTGAAGGGTGTGATTACCGATCGGTAATTTCGACAGTTTAGAATTTAAAATTTTTTATGGAACTGTTGCGAGTTTCATAAAGAATTTAAGGAATATAAGCAAAGATTTGAATCAAAATCTTAGACCTAAGCCGCTCGATTCGCTCGCGGCTTCCGCGAATTACAGATCAGCAAAGATTTGAATCAAAATCTTCGAACTAAGCCGATCGCTTCGCTCGCGGCTTTCTTTATTATTTTAAATTTGCATATTTCCATCAAAAGTTCATAAGGTAAAAAATTTCGTTTATTTTTACTAAGAAAAAAAGGTTTTTGATAATAAATTTATTTTATTTCGAAAAAGTAACAATAATCGTAAAAGGGTATTGATAGGCTTGCTAAAGTAACTAATTTTAGCTGTCAAATACTTTTGTATTTTGAAGTAAATTAGTATAAATTTGTTTTTACTTTTATTTCGAAAAAGTAGCAATAATCGTAAAAGGGTATTGATAGGCGTGCTAAAGTAACTAATTTTAGCTGTCAAATACTTTTGTATTTTGAAGTAAATTAGTATAAATTTGATATTATTTTAACTCCCTTTGAAAACCTCAATTTTCCATACAGAGGGAACGGGAATAGCATCCAATATTCCCTGAGAATGGTTGCGCATTCTCAGTTCCCTCTATATTTCGAACGAAGCTCTCATCGGTCTTTTTTTTAATACTAAACGTTTTTTTTTCCTGTCACTTTTAGCTAAAATTTGGGTTTGCCGAAATCCAATAGACCTTTGAGGTATTTTTCGGCAACAAACTTGTTCGATAAGAAATATATTTATTTATTCTCGAGTAGATGCAAGATACATCTTTTCAACCTCAAATTTTCTGAAAATTCATTTCCTTATTCATCTAAAACTTTCATAGGAGCTTAACCATATTATAACAACAGTGACACACGGCAATGGAAATTCAAAATAAGTTCAATGAGAAACATATCTTGAATTATTTCATTTTTTCAATTCCTAATTTTCATATAAATAGTCGTTGAAGAGGTACCCTAAGTAAAATTTCCAAAAGAATGAATGCATGAAATACAATACTTACTTCAAGCGATCATTTTTATCAAAGTCACGATCAAATTCAGAGGAAATTTTGAATCTAACGAAAAATTCATAACCGATTTAATGAAAACAACATATCTATATATGATATATAATGAAATTTAAGGATAGATATTAAATTTTTTATTTCATAATAATAAAAATTTAGTTGATAGTGAACCATGTTAACTTGCCATGTGTTGGCTGGATGAGCTGAGCAGGGATCATTGCTGGAACGAATGGAGCGTTGAAGACCAAGTCAATGATATCCTTGTTCTCAGCTTCAGTGTTGATCATAATGATGTTGTTTGCATTGTTGATGATCTTAGCACCCATAGTGATTCTTGAAAGGTTATCATGAGGAACGATATTTCCGATGATCAAAGACTGGTGATCATTGATAGCATCTGTACCTGGGAAGAGAGATGCAGTATGTCCTTCGAAACCTAATCCTAAGAGGATGATGTCGAACTCCGGATTTTCAGAGTTGAAATACTTCTTAATTTCTTCTTCGTAATCTTTAGCTCCAACCTTGTAATCCAACTCTCCCTTCATTCTGTGGATGTTTCCTTCAGGAATCTTCAAGTACTTGAGGAACATCTCGTTGATCATGTTGTAGTTACTGTGGATATCTGTTGGAGGAACGCATCTCTCAGCAACAAAGAAAATGTGGACCTTTGAGAAATCGATTCTTGATGTATAAGGTGCTGTTGCAAGAAGAGAATAAATTGGGCGAGGTGCCAAACCTCCACTCAATGCAATTGTGCATGTTCCCTTCTTTTCAACTGTATCAACAATCAATCTTGTCAATCTTTCTGTGACTGATTGAACTAATTCTTGTGCATCTCTGAAAACAGCGAGAGTTGCTTGGTTAACTCTGTTTCTCTTCGTTGTTCCTGTTGTTATATCCATCTTCTGGGCGTATGGAATGATTTCTGGATATGAATCTTTGAGAATTGGCTCAACAATCTTCCAGCACTGCTCAATTTCATCGGAACGTGGGAAGAAGGACTGATCACCATGGATGGCATCAAGAATAACACGCTCGTAAGCGCCTTGTAAAGCATTCTCGCCAAACTTGTCCTTGTAGTAGAATGAAAGAGGAATCTTTGCTGTGGACAAGCCAACACCTGGAACTTTGACGTGTTGCTTGAGAATGATACCTTCATGTGGCTGGACTTTGATTTCGAGAACATTTGGCTTGTTGATTGTTGAATCTCCGAAAATGGCATGAGGAACTTCATGGAAGACGAGTTTGATGCATGACTTCTTCTCAGCAAGAGCTTTGCCTGAGCAGATGTAGAATGGAACGTCTTTCCATCTCCAGTTATCGATGAAGAACCTGATGTAAGCGAATGTTGGTGTTGTTGAGTCCTTAGAAACACCTTTGTGCTCTTTGTAACCGAGGTATTGGCCAAGGATGACGTCTTGTTTCTTGATTGATCTAATTGCTCGTAAAACTTTGACTTTTTCATCACGGATGGACTTGGCAGTCATCTCACTTGGTGGTTCCATGGCAACAATGGCCAACATTTGGAGCAAGTGGTTCTGAATCATATCACGGATGACAGAAACACCATCGTAGTAACCTGTTCTGTTGCCGACATCGACGGACTCAGCAACTAAAATCTCAACGTGAGAGATGTAGTTTCTGTTCCAAAGTGGTTCCCAAATTGTATTTCCCCATCTGAACGTGAAAATGTTCATGACAGTCTCTTTGGCAAGGTAGTGGTCGATACGATAGATATCTTCTTCATTGAACTTCTCATGAAGACTGTCGTTCAATGCCAAAGCTGTTTCGTAGGAAGAACCGAATGGTTTCTCAATAACGATACGGACCCATCTGTCCTTGTTTGTGGAGAGACCAGCATTGTAAAGATTGTCGGAGATTTTCTGGATTAATGATGGTGGTGTTGCAAAGTAAACGAGAACACCCTCCAACTGATGCTGATCGAGTAAAGCTTTGAGCTTTTCGTATGTTGCTGGGTCTGTGAAGTCACCTGAGATGAATTTGACGTGCTTTAAGAAGTCATTCAAGTTTTGCTCTTCTTTTTCGTTGTGGGTGCGTGAGTATTTCTCAATGGAACCACTGATCTTCTCCTTGATCTCGGAATCCTTGTATTCATTCCTGGCAACACCGATAATGAGTGAAGCTTCGTTAAATGGATCATAGGAGTGAATGGATTCAAGAGAAGGAAGAAGCATTCTCATTGATAAATCGCCTGTGGCACCAAATATGACAATGGCGATCGATTTGGACTTAAGAGGCTTGCTATATCCTGACATCAAATAAAATAATAATGTTTTGAAAGGGCTCTCAAATAGAAAATTTGATATGAAATGTGGTCATTACATTTTTATCGATAAATTGTGATGTAAATGCAATTTTCAACTGACATAATCAAACTTGAAATTTTACGAATAACACATTCAATGTTGATTTCGGGATTGAATAAATTGTTGGCAAGACAATTTAGAACTCATAAAAAGAAAAATAATCACCATCATCTTGTTTTTACATAGATATTTCGATCGCAAACAAATTCACTGTTTAAAATTTTTGCACTTTTCATTACTGCCGATAGAAAATATGGATTACAATTTATCTACGCTGTTCAAATATGATAAACCCGAAGCGACAAATTTTGCGAATTAAAATTTTTTGACGACCCTCAATCAAATAGTTTGCTATTAAATATGTTAAGTATTAATTAACAAGATAGAATGAACGAATATAAAAATAACATCAATTTTTAAGTATCGTAAACTACATAAATTTTTGAATTAACATATTGAATTTATTGAATTGGAGAAAATTATCTCAGATTCAATCATCAATCAAGTTTAACGATTTACAAATCAAATACCCTCGTTGAAATAAGTAATTCATTAATCTTTATCAACTATTTCAAAATTGATGTGTCAAAATTTAAAGGCGTCAAAAATTTTCTCACTGGGTTTTCGTCTATCAATCCCAGCTCATTATATACGCAACCAATCAAAAATCTGATATGGGAGTCCAAGGCTAACTTTTTGTTGTCTACCTAATAAAAGAGGAAGCAGCATTAGTGAGAATAATCGCAAATATTCAATTTAAATTATCTTTTTATTCTTAATTTAAAGTGACAAAAAGAATAAAAAACCTATTCTAAGGCATGTTGTTATGTAAATGAGACTAGACATCATATTTTATGTTATGAAAAAAAATATTTAGAATTTTAGAACAAAATAAATAGAAAAAATAGCATAACTTATGGATGTGCGTATATTAAATTTAATAAATTAAGAGAAATTATTTTTGGCGCCAAAATTATTCGTTAACTCTCAAATTTTTCTGAGTCAATAAGCCGCCAAAAAAGTGTCATTTCTTTATAGGAAAGGAAACCTATTTGACGAACAATCCGGACACTAGTGCCTCAGCGAATTTCCCCAAACCCACCAATCCCCTCCCTGCTGTTGTGCACCATCGATGGAAAGTAAGTCATCAATAGTCTCTTTTCCTTGGACTTGAAATGTAAATCTCGGACGAAAGTAAGTCTGACTTGAAATGTAAGTTTCGGACGAAAGTAAGTATGACTTGAAATGTAAGTTTCGGACGAAAGTAAGTATGACTTGAAATGTAAGTCTTTGACGAAAGTAAGTCTGACTTGAAATGTAAGTTTCGGACGAAAGTAAGTCTGACTTGAAATGTAAGTTTCGGACGAAAGTAAGTCTGACTTGAAATGTAAGTCTCGGACGAAAGTAAGTCTGACTTGAAATGTAAGTCTCGGACGAAAGTAAGTCTGACTTGAAATGTAAGTCTCGGACGAAAGTAAGTATGACTTGAAATGGAAGTCTGATTCTAAATGTAAGTTCTAGACTAAAGTAAGTCTGATTCTAAATATAAGTCTGATATTAAGATAAGTTTGTAACTAAAATTAAGTCTTATTCCAAAAGCAAATTTAATTGTTTAATAAGTCTGGATCTAGAGTAAGCCTTAGTCTACAGCTATTCTGTGTCAAAAATAAGTCACGAACCATAGTAAGTTTCGGACTAGAGTATGTCTGTAATTCGAATCATTCATATTCTTCAATTATCCCGCCAAAAAAATTATCGTCTTTTTATCATACCATAGTTTTTATCAATCTCGTTCTACTAAAAAACCTTTATATTGGTGATTTCTTTGTTAAACCCGTATTTTTTCATGTGAATCTTATTGTATAAACTCTAAAAGTTCAATTTCCGGTCGAAAAAAACTTGAAAGCAATTTGTATTCGACGAGTTAAAGATATGGCATTCCAAACGGGAACCGCGGTTGGTTACCATGGATTTCCGTCACCGGTCACATTTTAAAGATTTTTAAAGCCTTATAAAAATATGCTTTGTAAATCATTTTTTGTAAATCGGCAAAAATTTGGTAATTTTCTTCAACTAATAAATCTGCGAATAGCATTTATAATACAAGAACAATCTTTTAAAATGCGTTTGATTCATTTTTGTATAATTTCATATAGGCACATATATTCTTCCGGGACTTTCCGTGATTTTACCGTAAAATCATTAGTTTACACCAATTTTTCCGTATTTTGAATAGTTTACTGCACTTTTTCCGTAAAATTGAGTTACGGGAATCCGCAAAATTTCCGGACCTCATTTTTCATAGAATATAATAATAATATTTGATAAAAAGATATATTATTTATATTTTTGATTTTTGAATTACGGAAAAAGTGAATTGATAACTTGATTTTTTTATATGGTTAATTTTTCAAATGATATTATGAAGATCTAAAATATTAAAAGTAAAAAATTGAATTACGGAAAAAGTGAGGTCAAAAGTGAAATAAATTTGCAGAACAATTTGCATTGAAATAAGCTTTATTTTTCATTATTAATAACAATGCTGTAATAAACAGAAATTCATCAAAAGTGACAGCTCTCAATTTTTTGACATTTGTAAATTCTAAATTGCATGAGAAAAATGAAATAATACTAAGCATAATACAATATTCTAGATTTAATTATAATTAGGAAAAAGTTAGTTTTGAGAGTACTTTTCATAGGCATATAGAATGAAATCTTCTGAAAAATAATATCACATAAACTCATATTATTTTCTAATATATAACTATTTTATATAAAAATCAAATTCAATGATCTTAAAAGCGAAGGATAAACCTCAAAATTTACGAATATAATGAGTGGGAATATAATGCTTATCTATCATAAAACCATATGAAATATCAATTTTTGCTTTACGCCTAATTTTTGACGACAATTAGCAAAAAATGTTAAATGTTAACACTCAGTCCATTTGAATATGAAAAATAAAATTGACTTTGATTAAATGTTTTTATTTATCATGCAATTCTTCTTGCGACCAAAGCTTTGACTAAAAGTTCAAAAAATAAGATAGCTTAAAAAATAATATACGGTAGTGTTTACTAATAGATGAATAGTATATAAATTCTATTAAAATGGATTTGATCCAAAAAAATATATAAAATTTGATCATAAATAAAATCGTTTTAAATTACTTCTTCATTTAAATTATAACAATTATTTTTGGTTTTATAGTTTTTAAAGCTCATGTGGTTTTTTTAACCACAGAATACTTATGTGCTGTAGCAAGCTTGCAATCCAAAGCTCACGTTAGACAACAAGAGTCATGAAGTCTCATACTAAGGGATATCCAACATATATTTTAATAATCTAATGTTTGTGACAAATATTCAACATAAAATTAAGTTTTTGTTTCGTTACAAGGCATTCATACTTTGGAGATATCATATTTAATGTACAGAAAAGTTAATATTAAACAATACATGCTAAAGAATTAATAAATAAGATAATAAAATAAATTTATACGTAATTACTTTCATTTAATATGCTTTATGCTGTATAATATTGATTAAGAGGCATTAAAAGGTTCCATAATCTGCTTTTATAGGCAAGATTTTTGATAAAAATTTAAAATTTTGAAAAATGATGAGAAAAGGAAAAAAAAGGTAAATGAGAGCAAGAGGAGGGAAAAAAAGAAAAAGAAAAGGAAGGGAAGGGAAAAATAAAAGAAAGAAGGACATATAAAAATTTAGATGCGCATTCTTAATGCCGAGGCGGCTTGCCGCCGAGGCGCGATTTTTTTAGGCCTCTACGGTAACCCGGCAATGTTTTTTTAAATCTTGTACAGCCCTAGTTAAAGAGCTCTATTTATTCTAAATTTTCCAAAAAAATTAGATTTCGTTTTTTCGCTTCAAAAAATGTTGTTTTAAGTTTTAAAATTTGTAATTCAAAATTTTTTTGGAAAGATTTACGATTTTTTAATACTGCGAATGAGTTTTATTTTACATACTCTATTGATAAATCATATTTTTGTCGAGATATAACTTTTTTTTAAAAAATTATATGCAAAGAGTGTTATAGAATTCTAGAAGGTATAGTGCATAATTTGAAGTATACTATCAAATAAAGAAATTTTACAGTTTTTTAGTTTTATTTAGATGTACGTTATTTTAGATGGCTTCGTCGAAAACAAAGCATGTCTGTTAAGTTTATTCTTAACATGGTAAATAAAATGGCAACGAAGCCCAGTGTACTGCGTCTTATGCCGTAGTTTTTGTTATCTTCATACTCAAATACAACAAATACAAATAGATTTATTACGAAAAAACGTATAAAACAAATGATATATTTATTTCTAGACAAGTTGACGAACATGTAGCGCAACTGTATCGCTTTAGAGAAAGTTCTTCCAACACCTACTCATTCAGTGAAAGACTGATTCACATTGTTGCTGGTAAGTCTGATTGCTTCAGATAGAGAGCATGAATTGCTTCTTATCATCTAATCCCCATCCCCCTTGTTCCCGATTGGATGACATGGACAATTCATCTTTCTCTAACGAAACAAAATGACACTTTTTAGCGGCTTATTGACTCAGAAAAATTTGAGAGTTAACGAATAATTTTGGCGCCAAAAATAATTTCTCTTAATTTATTAAATTTAATATACGCACATCCATAAGTTATGCTATTTTTTCTATTTTTTTGTTCTAAAATTCTAAATATTTTTTTTCATAACATAAAATATGATGTCTAGTCTCATTTACATAACAACATGCCTTAGAATAGGTTTTTTATTCTTTTTGTCACTTTAAATTAAGAATAAAAAGATAATTTAAATTGAATATTTGCGATTATTCTCACTAATGCTGCTTCCTCTTTTATTAGGTAGACAACAAAAAGTTAGCCTTGGACTCCCATATCAGATTTTTGATTGGTTGCGTATATAATGAGCTGGGATTGATA